TATGACTCTGATATTGGTGTGAGAAGATGGGGTGTCTGTAGACTCTTGTGCGTCAGTGGGATTACACACTGTGTCGGGTGAAGGCTGTCAGTTATCATTTAGAGTCGGAGGTTGATTTTCGGCAAATTCCACGGCCCTCGTTGATTCTGAGGCTTGGCTTTTAGGTGCCGAATGATGTATAGAGACAGTGTTTTCCTGTCCGTCAGGGAAACGAACATGAGCGTATTTCGGACTGCCTTCAATCGTACTTTGTTGACCTCAAAGGACGACGTATCAAGACCGATCCTGGACTACTCAACCAGGTAGGTATTGAGACCCCTGATGTTGATTTACGGTGATAAGTGAATAATCGTTCATGTGATGTTTCATTTGTTGCAGTGCACAGTAGTCACCTGATGGAGTGGAGTGCGTTGGGTGCATGGTAGTCCCCTTGACTGGGCTGTAAGAACAATGGTTCTCCAGAGAGTCCCATCGGGTCTCTCAACTTGTCCGTTTGACTAAGGATTGTAGGCCGTTGTTCTGCTGGTTACGATACTATTGCGGTGGAGGAAGTTCTTTGGTTCTTCAGACATGAAAGAAAAACCCCTGTCCGAATGGATGTAGGACGGCATACCGAGAGTCGAAAACAACTGGAAAAGGCAACGGATGATTGCTGCGGTCGACAGGTCTGAGCAAGCATAAGCAAACGGGAACCTGGAGTACTCGTCTATGATAGTTAATAGGTACCGATTTTTGGATATCGAGGGGAGCGGCCCCTTTAAACCAATGTTTAATCTTTCCAACGGCGAGGCGGCTTTGATCGGATTTCCGGTAGGTAGCTTGCAAAACTGGTTTCCATTTAACACGAAGTGTACAACCACCGATGACAGATTTCACATCGTCGACTGAGTACGGTGGATTCTTTGTCCTGACGAAATGAAGCATATGGACAACACCCGAGTGCCAAAGTGAGTTGTGCAATTCTGTGAGTGACGCGAATGACGTACACGCGGAGCAGAAGCTGCCAGACAGGGTGTCGGCTGCGCCATTCTCATGACCGGGGCGGTAAATGTTGTCGAGATTGTAGCACGATGATTCGATTCGCCACCTCTGAATCTTATCATTTTTGATCTTCCCACCGTGTCTGGATTCGAACATAAAAGCGACCGACGTTTGATCCGTGGTGAGTCGGAAACGTGTACCCAGCAAATGATGCCTCCACTTCGGGATAGCCTCCACACTAACGTTTACCTCTTTTTCTACAAATGAATGATGCTTTTCGCTTTGAATCAGAGTCCGGGGAAAAAATGCGACCGGCCTGTGATTTTGTGACAGTGTGCCTGAGATGGCTATATCCGAGGCATCTGTTTCAACGACCAATGTTGCCTCGGGATCGACAATGGTGACGACGGCACGTTCGAGCTCGCTCTTGAGTGTTTCCGATGACACTCTGACATCGTCTGGTAAAGGAAATACGTGGTTATGGACTAGTGGAAGAATCCTGTCCGAGAAGCGGGATATCCATCGGGAACAGTATGGAAATAAACCTATAGCTTGTCGCTGAGATTTTATGTTTTGGAGGAGGGAGTTCCTGAAGGGGTCGTAATCTTTCAGGATCGGGCTGCATCAGACCATGTGAAACTTCATAACCCAAGAGTTTAAGTTCTTTCGTACCGATGGTACTCTTCGTTCAGAGTAAGTCCGTATTTTTCCACAACATTAAGAAAGTTAGTAAGATTCTTATCTTGATCATCTTTGTGTGCGCCACACAGTTATATTATCGATGAAGGCGAACGTTTTTCTCAAGTTTTCTTCGCGAATAATTTTGTCGATGGCACGCTGAAAACAAGCAACACCATTCGTCACTCCGAACGGTATTCGGCAGGATTGATATAAATTCCCACAGGCTTCAAAAGCAGTGTATGGCCTATCTTGTTTTCCTATGGAGATTTGGTGATATGCGCTTCGCAAGTCCAATGCACTGAAAGTGGAATATCGAGATATTTTAGATACCACGTCATCGATTCTGGGCAGTGGATAAGCGTCCAATAACGTGTATCGATTGATAGTTTGATTGTAATCAACTACCATGCGTCTTTTATGTCTTTCGTTTGTTGTAACAAGGACTTGAGCGCACCAGGGTGACGTTGATGTCTCGATGATGCCATTTCTCAGAAGTAGCTGAATTTCCGATTGAATAAATTTCTCATCTTCAGGAGTATGGAGTCGCGATTTAGTTGCGATAGGCTTGCAGTCTGGTAGCAAGTTCCCGAAAAGAGAAGGAGGTTCAATACGCGAAGCTGTCACACTACAAAGGGAGAGAGTTGGTTTGCTGCAACTGAATGGAATCTCAACTGCTCTGTGGAATTTCAAAAAATCGTGCGCCAGTAGTACATCCGCACACAGATGAAGGAACACAGAGAGTTTGAAGTTGTACGAATTATTCTTGAGACATATGTTAACAAAACAGTGACCCTTGGTTTGACTGATTGATCTGGTGGAAGCCACGGCGATGACGCTGGATGACTGTATGATTTTGGGACGGTGATGCTGTACCACGGATTCGGAGATGTAACTGGCGGAACTCCCCGTATCTATCAGAGTTCCTATAGGGATTTTTTCACAGTAATCGTTGTTAGCGCATTTAAGAGGCGACGATGGTAGAGACTACAGGTGTTGTGGCAGAAATTATTCGTTTCTCCGGAGGTGGTCGGCAGACACGTTGAAGTGTCTTTTCTTTCCACAGTTACTGCAAACCACATCCTTAGCAGGACATTTGACTCGAGAATGTCTGTCATTTCCACAGAAATAACACTTGGTTTTTAACGCCGCTGACGTTGTTTCCGTGAGTAAGTTGCTACCTTCCTTGTGGTCAGAGGGACAGTTGTCAGTTGATTCAGTGGGTGTTGATGCCGAAACCGTATACGATATTAGTGGTGTCTGGTAGGCGCTGGTTTGTTTTTGGGCCATTTCGAGCGATCAGGCTAATTCTAGAGCAGTTTGCAAATCCAGAGATTTATTTTTAAGGAGTCGCTGCTGGGTAATGTTCGACTGCATCCCGCTTATGAAAGCGTCTCAAATAGCATCGTTTTGATTTTTCTCGGCTGTCACGGCCCGGAGGTTACGATCCTTAGCTAAGGAGTTTAGCTTTTGGTAGAACTGGTTGAAATGCTGCCCCGTTTCCTGTTTCCGTGTTGCAAGTAGGTAGCGTGCAAAGACTTCATTGGGCGGCTTGATAAACAATTTTTCAAGGATTTGAATGGCATCGTTGTGTGAAGTACATTCAGCCACATAATCGTATACGGTCGGCGAGACATAGTTGTATAGGAAATCAAGCTTCTCAGAATCGTCTACACCAACTTTGGCGAGAAATTTATCGAACGTGCAGAGCCAGTGACGCCAAATTTTCAAAGAAGTAGTCGAGTTTGGATCTTCGTCGAATCATTCAGGACGTAGGTAGCGTTCCATTTTGAGACGATGTGTATGCCAAATAAATTGATGCGTGTATAGTAACGAAATCCGAATGGTTGAGGCAGGCAGAAGACAGAGACCTAGGATTTCGGCTTTATTTGACATACAACTGAACGGTGCGATCTGAAAACAATAAAGCAGGAATTTAGTAGACTAACATTAATAAAACCAAGGTAGATAGAAAATAGTAAATGAACATGACAAGTACCATGCCACCCGCGTAATACATGGCATAAAACTGAGTAGGGAGCCAATACACAGCAGACTGTTTTTTGACTTTAACCTGAGATTATAACTGGTAGCTCGAATGTAAGTGGTAGGCATGAATAAAGTAAAGTAATTTTCATCCAAAAGAGGATCTAGGAATGGTATAACTACATCGTAAAACTAAGAATCCCATTGTGGTCACAAGGGATTATTAGGCACGTACTGTTACAATTGTAATTCTAGGAGGAGCAGATATCGATAGATTCTGAATCATCTGGCATGGCTCGTCTGATTAACTCGCAAGAAAAAACAGCTATCATCAGTTGTCGTATCTGAATTGCAAATACACTTCGATCTCGCTCAGACGCCTCAGTTATGGTAAAGCGCCTCGGCATACGATACAGAAACGATTGATCGATCGGTGTACTATCTGAAAGTGTATTCAGCCCCGTGCTGATGCATCTCACCTGCCATACGCTTACGCCTAATACCCAGTGGTATGAATTTCTTGTGTAAAAGAGAGAAATCTGAATTCCATTTACGCAGATGGTTTTCAACTGATGTCGATGAGGCCGTGTAATTTTGCCCGTCCGTGACTAAGACGTCGATCAAAGTATGCTCTGTGAGAAACCGGTGGATCGCAGTGCCGTTCTGTTGCCACTGCAAGGCTGATTCGGAGATTTAAAAGATCTCCTTTACATTATGGTCAGTTTGGCTCTAGGTAAAACATGAATCACAAGGGAACCCCATGACAGACAGAGGAAGGTGTAGACGGGGATGTCACGTGCTAATTGACACAGCGTGCTGTGTTCGGTCAGCTCATAGGCTTCACTGCGCACTTGGGAACTTCAGGCAGACCCATTCTTTCGCGTTGAATACGTTCAAACTCGAGTTTAAAGTTGGGACGTTCGGTTAATAAACTTGATGCCGTCTGACAAGCGTGACAGATAAAAGCAGTGGTTGCTGTTTCTGTAGCGACTCAATCCCAGGTAGTTATGCTCGTCAAAATCCCAAACACTATTCACAATGATCACCTTGTATTGACCCTTTTTTATTATCCCTTTCAGGTGTTTCTTATTGCTCTATGGAGTCAATTTGTTGCTGACCACAATTTGCGTTGGCGAGAAAGATTCGATGCTGTAGAATGACAAAACTTAACCGTGTCCGTTTGACGTCCCATGCTTTAGAGTGGGAGTTGAATGGCTGTTGAATCTCTCAGAACGATGTTCGTTCATCTTAGTGCTGGTCTGTCGATTCACTTTATAAATCTTTGCTTTATTGTGTGAAATATTTCTTCCAATCCCGTGCAGCTTAAAACGTACCTTCTTCCTTTTAATTTGCAGGTATCTACTTGATCTTCGCGTTCGTGCCTCGAGATTGGCTCTCAATGATCGGCGTCACTTACTTACCTCACAGGTGCGTTCTATACGGTTTAACCAGTTACGGTAAGGAAATATCTGAAATATTGGATCTAACCAATGTCGTTCTGGCAATATGGCATCATGTCGTCAAATATTTCATTGCTGAATGCGGACTGTCTCCATGATTGTCCACTCGACCGTACACTCATTTCACATTTAGCATGATGACTTTGCACACAAAATTTAGAAGCTCTTGTTGACCAGGTCCCCTATAATTTAAACCTTTTAAGCTTCGGATATATTTCTTTTAGAAACCGATAATAAAGTAAAATTAAACAATTGTTCCATTTTGGAGAGCGTCTTTTGTGTCGCGTTTCCGAGGACCGAATGCTTCATCACCAATGTTTGAGATTAAAAGCTGCGCAACTGCACGTAATGTACGAACCCTGTAAAAGTGTATGAGACAGTAGCGTACAGCGATTTAGGGCGTATTGCTTTTTTTACACTGCTCATGTTACCCTTTACTATCTAAATTTCAGACATTGGGCTATCACATTTCCTATTGCACTTACCGCGACTGGCGTCGGTTTCCTATTCTGCTATACACTATGTCATTTTCAGCTTACGCAACCGTTGACTTCGATTTACCAGATTCGTGGTAGGTGTTTTCATTAGCTCCTAATTGTTGAACGTAGCACAAAATTGCTTTTTATTGTTGCATCAGCACTTTTCCTCCACGGTAGGGTCGCCGGAATGCTATTCAGTATGTTTTTCCCCATTGATTTTCTGAAGTTACCGGAATCCACCAGTAGTGCATATCTACCGAATCCCAGTTGGGTGTGGAACACAGGATGCATGATTGTGAGTCGTGCGCGTTACTACTAGGCTGTCCACACTGGTTGTCAACTATTTGCTTGGCACCAACACTAATTGATAAAGTACCCGAGAAAACAACAAAGGTGATAAAAAACCACGCTGAAGCTTGGAAAAAGTTAGTCCATGAGAGAGTGTAAGTCATTTCATGAAAAATGCTACAAATGAAATTGTTCAAGTAGTCAAGCTGTGTTTGTTTGCAATACCTTCGCTTCACTTGGGCTCCTACTGATAATCCGTCCATCGTAGGAGTCGACCGCTGCACATGACAGGTTACCGTTCAGCACCAGTGACGTAAGGGTGCCATATTAGGTAGTTTTGCTAGCCGGTCCGTAAAGCCTGGTGTTAATGTGTATGGCTCACTATCATGTACCCCCGAGTTGGGACGCTGTGGATCTACACTGGTAATGATTCCAAGTGAGAATGAGACAGCTGTGGTGTTCAGTGGTGGGCTGAGTATTGATATTGCATGACGAATCATTTGATACGATATTCAAGTCTATTTGTTCTACACTGTCCCACCAGAGCGAGGAAGAACGCTTCTCTGTTTGCGTACAATCTCGTTTTATTTGCGTAAACAAAGTGCTTATGTAGGACGTTGATTCTTGTACCTGGTCGTTGCACAAATCTCGTTGGTCTGACTGGTGTGGGCAATCGGGCCTTCTAATGGGCTGGTGTTGCAACTAAACACCGCTCAACAAGATTCATCCGTCATTCTGTCGATCCACCCTATTGATCGTCTGTCCTGTCGCTCGTGGTTCTGTTGTCTCAAGCTTTGGGCTCGGTACTGAATAGGCTCTGCTCGCGCATCACGTGATTCACTTTGATGGTGTTCTGCTGGAAAGGAAAGTCAGTGTTTGTCACGAATCAACCACTGTCCTTGCACTACTGAAGCTACTTTGTGTTTTGTTTTGCCACCATTTTACTTATTAGAGACCAAGGGTCAAAATTCGCGTTATCAATTGTTTTTGCGGTATCCAGTCACACAATATTTTTCGGCCGTAGTTTAAGTTATCTGTCGTTTTTCTGGTGAATCAGTCAAAAATTAATGTGTCAAAACCGAGATCGGTTCGGAGTGTATCAAAAAATCGATGCGCCATGTGAAATGTTATGGTAGAATTTTGTTGGTGAATAACACAGTGTAGTCGAAATCGTTGGTAGGTTGTCGACGTTTCGGTCACCACGGGTAACCTTTTTCAAGACTGGATTCATTCGGTTGTCAAACCAGTCTTGAAAAAGGTTACGCGTGATGACCGAAACGTCGACAACCTACCGAAGACTTCGACTACGCTGTATTATTGAGCAATAAAATTCTACCATCAGTCAGAAAACCAGCTATTGAACAGAGTTTTCTAGAGGGGTGCTAAATAAGTGCCGCTATTAAGTTATTGACTTTCGAGCAAACTCATTGTTAAAACTGCAAATTTATGCGTTACAACCGTCTATTATGTCTAATCCTATTGACAGCAAGCAGCTCAGTTCAGTTCAGTTCATTCAACCACTAAGGTCGCACTTCGTGACTCTGGTTTCGGTTGCTGCCTTCCAGTATCGTCGAGTTCAGGGCAAAAAGAATGGAAACATTAAGTGAGAAAGGTCCAAAATATCAAAGCAATAAGCGGGATTCACGGAGATAAAGAAGGAGTCCGAATGCAACTACGCCGCGGTCGTGACACCTAGCCATACCACTTAATGTTTCCAACGATTTCGTAGGTGGGTCACGTGGACCCCAACCTAGAAGTCTAACACGTCCTACGTGGCCAAATCCACTGATCAAGTTTTCATACTTTTTTGGTATGTCGTGGACTGACCACCTCAACCTACCTTTCGATCACTATCTGCCTCAGAGAACAGCGTATGCTGAGGAAGTCCATCGGTGGACATGCGTAATACATGTTGCACCCACCTTAATTTGTTTAGATTCAGTACTTGATCCAGAGACTGATCTCTGGTTTCCAACATCTTACGTCTAATCTCAGCATTGCTGATACGATGTTCCTACCATATTCGGGTTGTGCTACGGAAACATCTGTGTTCGAACAGCGACAGTGTTCGTCTGTCTTTTACTCCTAAGACCATATTTCTGAGCTGTGTAAAAGAACTGACCTGACTGCTGCATTGTACACTCTACCCCTAAGAAACAATCGGATGCCGCGCAGGCGCCACAGATGACGGAGGTTGGCAAAAGCCAAACGTGCCTTTTGTACAAGCGATGACACTTCATCCGATATTTGTCCACTTGGTGAAATGTACCTTCGTAGGCAACAAAATTTATCCACTTCAGCTAGAGCTTTCTCTCCCAAGAAGAGGTTTGGTGTTTAGCCAACCCAGTCCTGCAGCAGCATTTCATACTTTGAAGGTGCAAAATGCATCCCAAACATTGCTACGCTGTTGCTATCTAAGAGAGCCTACAACTTACCTGGATCTTCACTCAGAAGAACAATATCGTCCGCGTATTCCATGTGAAACAGTTTACTGTCTGAGCAAAGATCGATGCCGCTATTCTCACACGGGGATAGGGCTGTCTCAAAAATCAATTCATTTACAAACCCGGATAGAAGGAACGAAAAAGGACAACCCTGACGTACACCACTTTCCTTGATGAACTTGGGCGGAAGGTCGCCGTAAGTACGAACTCGACTCAGGCCGTTCGCATACAGTGAGAGACAGAGCCACAGAACTGTGGTCGGCGTAATCGAACGCTGCTTTCAGATCGAGAAAGACTGAGATTGTGGGGCTACGGAAGATGTGTTGAAGAGCAAACATGTGGTCGATACGACCCCGACGGGGTCTGAAAATGGCTTGATTCTCACGCGTACACATTTCGCGGGAGCTGGAAAGTCGGTGGAGAATAAGCTCAATGAGCAGTTTGGACGCGATACTTACCAAGCTAATTCCACTGTGGTTTTCACGAGAGGACCTGTCACCTTTCTTGTAAATCCCTGCAGTCACTGATTCACACCATTCTCCTCACATCCCAGATTACCCGGAAGAGTTATGTTAACTCCGAAACCAAAGTTTCGCCTCCATCCTTGAAAAAAGATGGAGACAACCCATCCGGTTCTGCGGCTTTGTCCCTTTTCAAGTTACCTATCTCCCGCATAGTCTCCATCTCTGATGGAGGACTGATATCTAACTGCATCGTTTTTTGCTGCAGGTATATTCCGAAGTTCCATAGTTAAAGTGGGCCAACTGAGTTGCTCCTTAAAGTGCTCTCCCGAACGATCCAGACGACGTCCGTGGGAATGAATCAGCGAGCCGTTGGATTCATTGATTAACTCACTTACACTGGGCTTTCGTGGACCGGTATTTCTAATCAATCGGTGAAGGTTGTGAGTACTTCCAGCAGACTCAGCGTTTTCCATTTTCCTACATTCCGCCGTTCATCATTGTTCGCGGTCATTTCATAAGCTTCAAGTCAGCTGGCCTCAGGGACTTATGCACTACGGTGAATGTGGCATCCGGGGGCATGGATCTGCGGGCACCCAACAAAGAAAATGATGTCGACGATATCCATTGTTTGTGAGGCCCACTTGAACGAGAGTTCTGGGTGCCATTCGAAGCGGCATACAAAGCTTCCTTGATCTGTTGGCAGCGTTTATCTGAGTCCTGGACATCCGGCTGCATCGATAGCCATGCGGACAGCTCAGCCTGAAAAGCAGAAGCAGCTACAAGCACACTAATAACAATAAAAACACAACATCAGTGGAACTAGTTTTTACATTCTGTCAGCGCCTACCACAGTTGGTACCCGCTTGAATCAGTGTAGTTAGTAATGAATGAAATACCCAATGACGTCTTGGGAAGCATTTGGTCAGTGTACGGAGCTATTCGGCAGGACATTTGTGTTGGTAGGTGAGACCAGCCATGTGACTGATCGAGTAGGATCGCCAGACAGCTTGGCCGTTGTTTAGTTGTTATGGTGATCCGCAGTGAACAAGAATTGTGCGCTGCCGATGCCTTTTCTGGTCAACAACTGTTATGCTTTTCTAACTGACTTCACATCTGCTGTCTCATCGGTCCTCAGAGAAATTAGTACAGCCAGACAAAAGCAAGTGCGTTAACATTCATCTGGAAAAAATGGGGAAAATAGAAATCCTAGAGCACTCAGGACTGTATCCAATCTTTCTGAAGTGCTTCGTCGTCAACCCATTGGTTGAACTTTAACTTCGTTGGCCACTTTTGTATGACTGACCTGGAGTTTGAACACGAACCAGTTTTTGCTTAGACAAATCGATTGGGTAGCGCGTCGCGATATTTTGGTGTTGAACTACAGCTTCCAACTCAGTAGGGCAATAGTGGTTTTCTGACGGTAACCAAGATCAATATGCCACACCTGAGCATTTGATCAATAAGTCAATCGAATTATCGAGCATCGACTGCGTCGTGCTCACTCCCACTCCAAAAATTTCTTTTCCAATACAACTTGTTTCCATTTCTTCAGACATCGCTGTCACTATCACGAGATGATGCCTTGAGCTGGATTGTGCCTCCATGATCGAACAAGCTATACTAGGTGTTATTTCGAGTCAGCAGTCATCAGAATCTCCAGGCGAAGGACAGATGGAGTTTGGTCTCCGGGTTGGTATTCGTTGGCGTCACCGAAGACGAGAGTGTAGAGTGCGAACGTTGCATAAAACTAATCGCCTCTGGTTTACCCATGAGTTATTTATTACGTGGCTCTGTTGATGGGTGTAATCGAGCTGCGAGTCAGCGCTTTATGGGAATAGCAGTGATCGACAAGAAAATGTTCGCTTTTTTGTACAGGGCCTTGGTGAAGGGTTGATT